GATTAAATAAACTTATCAAACGTAACATTCACTACTTATCTCCAATTACGGATGTGAACTCATGTGTAAATAGAGAGAGGGACACTTACCACAATTCCAGATCCCCTTGGCTTTGAAAAATGCCTCATCTCTATTAACACAAGAAGGATGATACGCTTTTGGGCAACCTCTGAGAATTCATAGGGGAAATTTTGATAAGCCCCATAAAACACATAACCAACAAACATATTTGAGAAACTCGGAAATTCTTATTTCTGGTAACAGTCTAAAGATTATAAGTAACAATACAAGAAATTCACCTGCGGTCGCACATAACAAGGTCCCCACCATCGAAGCAAATGAAACAAACATCGTCTCCCACAAGCTTCCTCCCTGAAGCTTTTGCTGCAGTCCTAGAATTTGATGGAGTCTTTGATTTCTTTCCTTTCTTCTGCTTCCCTCCAGAAACTTTCCCAGTGTCAGTCTCCATTTCAGTGTCGTGAGTCCCAGCCTCCTCCTCAGCAACCACTGCTTTATCCTCTTCATCTTGTACAGCAGCCAGGGAATCACCCAACTCCTGACCAGATTCACCCACATCGTCATTTGTTTTCTCAATCTCCATTACGCTCTCTATTGCCAATTTTGTGTCCTTGAATGAAATCCTATCGGCCAAGTTGCAACTTTTTTCCTCCATCGCAGTTTGTGTCTCTGTTTCCATTTCAGTATCCACTGCTGGAATCTCCTCCCGTGCCACAGCTTCCTCCACAGTTTCAGCAATATTAGCAGGTTCATCAGACTCTGAAGCCTTTGAAACATCCAGATTTATATCCTTCTCCTTCACCAATTGGGTTTCCATGAGTAAGCTATCCTCAGCATACTCATCGTATACAGCCTCTAATGACTGAGTTCCAACAACTCCCACACCACCATCTAATACATGAACCTGCTCTCTTGCACTAGCACTGGTACTGGCACTGGCACTGGCTCTGGCTTTGGCCACCTCAGAATTAGACTCATTTGTTGTCCCAAACTCCATTTTGGCTTTGGAGGTTGAAATCTCTTCTACAGTTACTTTGTCAGCAACCTCAATTTCTGAATCATTTAATTCAACAGCAACCTTCTCCTTGCAGTTTATAACATCCTCTATGGATACTTTTGTATTGCTTTCCACCATTTGAAATTCCATTGGCTCCACCCCCGCTACTTCCTCATTCTCAAACTTCTCTCTCTCGCCTATCTCTAGCTCAATCGCCGTCTCAGTTTTAGCATCTGATGCCTCCAATCCCTCTCTCACAACCACCGTTTCCACTCTTGAGTCAGCCACTGGCACAAATTCCCCGCTTTTTTGACCTAGTTCAAAATCCCCATCAGAAACAGCCATTTCACCATCATGTGATGCCTCCAATTCCTTTCTCACAACCATCATCTCGAATTTAGTATCAACCAATGGCACCAATTCTTCTCCGCCATTTTTACCTAGTTCTAAATCCCCATCACCAGAAACAGCCATTTCACTACAATGTGATGCCTTCAATCCCTCTCTCACAACCACCATCTCAACCTTTGATTCAGCCAGTGGAACCAATTCTTCCATGCCTTTTTTCCCTAGTTCAGAATCCCCAATATCAGAAACAGTCATTTCACCTCCATGTGATGCCTCCAATTCCTCTCTCCCAACCACCATCTCCACTTTCGTGTCAGCCACTGGCACCAACTCTTTCCCGCCCATTTTACCGAGTTCTAAATCCCCAACATCAGAAACAGCCACTTCACCACCGTCTTTCAGAGCTTCGGCTTCACCTTCCACCACCAAAATTCCCTCCACCGTCTCCTGGCCAGCCTGTCCACTGCCAATTACATTAAAAACAGTTTCCTCGCAACCTCCTGCATTCAGCTCCGTCGCCACCTCGGCCTTCAATCCCGTATCCACCGCTTCATCTCTGTCCACAACAGCACGCTCTTCTCTACCTTCCTCTTCCGCCGGCTCCTTCTCTGTCGCAACCACTTCATCTTTCACATGCCAACTACTTAAATTCGAATCACACAATTTAGGAAGAAACCCACATTGCTCCTCGCTTTTAATCACTTCCTTCACCATTTTTTCCTCTACCGTTGCCCTTTTTTCCTCCAAAAACGACCTATTCACATTGGATAAACTCTCTTCGTCATCCGCCATGGATACCTAAGTTTTTCTCATAACCCTAGCCCTTCAATTTGAGTACGCACCGGACTATAGGTGAATACTACGTGCAGCGAGGACGCGAAATGCGGGTGAATTGTATTGTCGCTTGCGTTTGGGGGTATTTCTCTGTTGAGGAGCAAACACATGAAATTTAGGGGAACCGGCAAGCTTGTCAAAGTCCCCAACTCACACGACAAAGTAACTTGTAATGCCCCGTTTGGTGGCATTAAAATCAATTTTCGTAGTCCTATCAATTTTAATCTAATCTAAGTCAAAGTCATTAATTAATTTTAATAACACATTTCATGAAATTTACAATTTTTCAATCGTGTATTTCATCAATCGCTATCAAAATTTACTAAAAATCTGATTTTAATCACCACCAATATGAGTTAGATTTTAATAAAAGTTGATAAACTATATTGTTAAAAAGTTAAGATTTCCATAAAATATGGTTAAAATTAATTAATAATTTTAACTTAAATTAAAATTTAGACTTTAATCCGCATCAAATAAGGACATAACAACGATATTTTATGAGCTTGGGGGTTTACCCAGTACTCGTAATGTGACTTTTGAAAAGCTAAAGTGGAAATTACATCCTTTACCTAGTATTGCATGAAATTTCAATATAATTATTTTATAATTTATTTTATCCTATAATTACTATAGATGATGTAGTAAAATAAAAAATGAGGAAATCACTTAACTCATACTAGATAATCAATAATGAGCTGAATTTGTTCCATCAAGCAAGCCCCTTATTATATAAAGTGTTTGGTGAGGATTAAAATTAGATTTTTTTAATAAATTGTGATAAAAAAATTTTAAAATGTGTTGTTGAAAAATTGTGGGATCCAAAAAAATGTAGTTAATATTGATTATTTGACTTTAACTTAAATTAAAATTAGATTTTAATCCGTATCAAACAAGCACATAATTTTACAGTCAAAATCCCCTAATTCGCGTCTATTCATATTCATTCTCATTATTGTCCATCTACAATCCTCTCAAGAAATCGAAATCATCAGCACAACTCAATCCTTTCACAACACAAATTAATCTATCAATTTTTTCTTTTTTTTTAAGAATCGGTGATTCGACTTTCAATACATGTGTGATTAGGTTTTTTCCCACATATAAACCCTAATCGGAGATGTAATATCACCGTATTCAATCGAATTGAAGCCTTTCCTTTCCAATAATCATTATTTTTTAAAGTTTTATCTACAATATAGCAACACCCAAAGGCAGTTCTACATCCTTGAGTCATGTATCGTTAGGCGTAACAAGAAGATGAAAGGGCGATAATTGAATAGTGCAGAATGAGAAGCTAGGTGTTCTTTTGTCTTGTTATGAGCTTGTTTGATGCCCATTTTTTGTCAATAAAATGCATTTTGGAATAGGGATTCGATGGAAAATGTGTGGTTAAAATAAAGAAAAAATTTCAATTTACGTATAATTTTATTTTCTTGAAAAAAGTATTGTTTAAAAGAATAGAGAGAAAATTGTATTTAAAAAAATAAAGGAATCAAACAAGGCCTATATTTAATAATGTGACATTCTACTCTTTTGAGCAATGTACTTAATTTCAACTTTTGAAATGTTTTGCCACGTTCACATTACTGCTACGGTGGCCTTTAACAAGTGGAAATAATGTTTTCTGCTCATATTCTGAAATAGTAAAGTTCTACAGCTAGAATTCAGTTTGAAAATTAGAAGATCACTCTCCAAAAATAAACCATGTATTATATTGCCGCGTTGTACATTTAAACATTTCCAACACTACTATGCATCCAAGTTACTTAGTTTTGATGTTGAGGCAGAAATTGAGCAATTCCCTGGAAAGCAAGCATTGGCCAAGAACCCTA